TGGCCAAAAAAAAAAGGGAAGGGGGCAGTGAAGGTGCTCAGGTGGGGTGCCCGAGTGCTACCCTGTCTCCTCTGCACCGCCCCTTTCCTCCTGCACATGAAGACTCAAGCGTAGGACCAATGTGGAGAAAAGGCTGAGAAATGCCAGGTGTACCGTGAGATACAAGGCTGGGAAAGTATCTTCCCTTCCCCACCATGGTCATCTCTGTGGTCACAGAAACTGGGAAGGGAAAAAGCACACTGCAGAGAAAACGCCTTTCTCTGGATGTAGAGACACTCCGCTACTCTGAGCCTTTGCCAGTAAACCCCAAAACACAATGATGTAAGAAATCAGAACTGCTTTGAAGAAGCCACATTCTTTTTCCTTTTTATACCTATATAGGCTCAAATGTGAAGTCATTCCAGCTCTACACAGAGAATAATAAATAGCAGGTCGCTGGTTCCTTTTTGTGCTTAAATCGGCGGATATGTAAGTTTGGCAGTAAAATCCTACACGTGCCAGTCTACCTCCATGAGAGAGTATGAGAGAATAAAACTGGAAAATATGAGGAAAATCACGGAGGAAAGAAAGTGACAGAAAGTGTAAGAAAAGGTGGTATCTCCACTGCCCATATGATTTCGGGTGTTTCTGCTGTCAGTTTTGTTTATGTATTTATTTACTTGTCTTCGTTTGTTTGGACCATCAGGCCGCCTACCTTTTAGCTGAGCACTACGGGAGAAGGAATTCTGCAAGCACAGTCACGTCTCACAGGACTGCTGACACTCATCCAGCACCCCAGTGCAGCCTGAGTACAAACCCTGTTTACCGAGAAATGCAAAAATGCTACCAGCAACCCAAATAATGGTCTAGGATTTGAGTGATGATTCAATTTTAAATTCTTAAGAACAATGCAGGAGTCTGCAAGTACCAACCTTTTCAGAAGAAAATCTCCTAGAGGATTCAGTTAATCCATATGGATGAACCAAAGTCCACTGAGAAAATAATTTTCAAAGGACTCAACATGAATATGATATAGTTTAAAAAGTTGTAACGATTTGCATTAATAAGGTCTAACAGCCTGCTGACCTCTGGCAAAGCTGTTTTTCTCCTCCTACCCAGCTCCCCAGAGAGATATTCCAGTCTTATTCATTTCTCAAGGGTTTATCTCTGCAAAACCCTCCCCCTTGCGGATCCAAGAAGATGCTGGTTCCTATTACACTTGCCATCCATACAAAGCATGTAATCTACAAGATTAAGGCTCTGGTTTAAAAGAAATTGCAAGATGTTCTACTATGCAAATATAAGCAATTCTTCATCTATGCCAATGCTGAACACAGACTTGGGTGAGGACTTTCTTTAATAAGGAAAGTCCCCTGAGTTCTCAAGAATAACAAAAACCACAGCATACTCTCAGCCAACCTGAGAGCCCATCTATAAGAGGGAATCTACTCGGTCAGTATTCTCTTGCAATATTTTTTCATTCATTGTTCAAAAGGTATTCCATAATACCAGGGCTTTGGCACCACTCGGCCAGGCAGATGAGCTATACTCAGACAACAGAAATGATAAAAATTAACAAAAACTTTTCATTCACTTCTTGACATGCTCAAATCTGGTTATCGCTTCTGAAACTCTTTATAATGGGTCCAAATTATGCCCAAATTGCAAGCTCCCAAGTGTGTCCATTTGTTCAAGAAATAGTACTGAGTATGTAATACAGGACAGACACTGAATATAAACAATAAGTGGCATTGGTTCTGCTTTCTTAAAAACGTACAAACTTATGGGGAATTTGGGTGTGTACATCAATAAACGCACACAGCATAGTAAGTGCTACAAAAGACATGCAGGGTGAACATAAAGTTCCCATGCAATTTAGAGTAGTTTAACACAGTAAACTGCACACAAACTTTATGGACACCCTATATATTCAATATACTGTAGTTACTGCATAAAAGTTGCAATAATTCCTTGGTCAGGGAAAAAAACGGGCAAATAATGACTATCAATCTCAAATTTCCTGAGCACTGAGAAACTCCCCAGGCACGGAACTATCATACATTATCCCCTTTCATCCTCACAGCGATCGATCGATGAAGTAAATATTATTAAGCCCAATGTAAAGACAAGGAAACTAAGCTGTACAATAATGATGAGACAGAAGTAGGGACCACACGCAGACGTACCTAACTCTAAGAAGATGTAGCATCTGAAATAAGCATCAAAAAATAGGTGGAAAAATCGGACATGGTGGCTCACACCTGTAATCCTAGCACTCTGGGAGGCCGAGGTGGGTGGATTGCTTGAGGTCACAAGTTTGAGACCAGCATGAGTAAGAGCAAGACCCTATTTCTACTAAAAATAAAAAAGCTAGCTGGGGCATAGTGGTAGGCACCTGTAGTCCCAGCTACTCAGAAGGCTGAGGCAAGAGGAAAGCTTGAGCCCAAGAATTTGAGGTTGCTGTGAACTATGACAATGACACCATGGCAGTCTGCCCAGGGTGACAGAGGGAAACTCTGTCTCAAAAAAAAAAAAAAAGACAGGTAGAAAGAAGGAAGAAGAACAGGAACTCTCTTGTGGAGCATAAACAAAGGGAGAACAGACTGGAAATGTAGTTTCTTTGTGAATTGTACAGCAGTTAAATGTGTGCTTATCAATTTAGTAACAAATACATATTTTAAAATTGCATCCTATATAAAAAATTCAACGATATTGCTTTTTTGTACTCCTACATTTCCGGAATCATTTATTTCCCCTAAACTCCTCACATACATCCTCAACATCTGTGTCTTTTCATTAAAAGAAAGAGCTACCTGGGAAGTTGGTGCGCCGCTAACAGTCTGCTTGCTATAAACAACAACTGCAGATGAGATGATCCGGTCATAGAGAACATATCCTAAAGACATCCTGAAAGTCTTAACACTTCGTACATCGATGGTGTTATTTAAAGAGTAATATATGAATAGATGGTGTATGCCTCTTTTCTAAAAGATTTTTTTCTTTTTGATAAGAGTAGAGGGAACCTGACGTGAATCTTTCAAGATTAAGAAATAAAAATGGTTCACTAAATATAATGTATGTCTATCTAATTTATTCTGAAAAAATTACAAACCTCCTAAAGAAATATAGTGTTAAGAGTCAGCACTGGAGAGGGTCGGGGCAGAGTGGCCACGCAAGGTCAATGCTGGCTGCCTCCAGAGGCCAATCCTGAAGTCACCAACAGGTTTTTCAAACAACTAGGTTTACCCGCTAACTGGCAATTTGCTGATGTATGTGGAATGGTCCTGAACTCCTCGGCACAGCACCAAGACCAGTCTGTCCTGTGCTGCTTCTCTTCCCTATTACAGAAAAGTATGAAGTATTCAGAAGAGAGGAGGAGGAAAATTAAAATCTCAGGGACAGGATGTTACGTCATTAGTGCATTTCATGAAGGAAACAATCAACAAGACCTGTGGAACAAATGGAGTGATCCACGATGTTGTGAACAATAAAGACAGATGCACTTTGAATCTGAACCAACCTTGAAAAAATTCCTGCCAGAGTCTGCATCAATGAGCCCTCAAGAACAAAGCAGATACCTGGAGAGCTCTGGGCTACTCGAGTTACTCAAGAAATCAGAGCCCAGGAAGGCCAGGCTGAGGCACCAAGTATAGATGAAAAAGTGGATCCTCATTTTACTGCATTAATAGATGGGCATCTCAATGAATTAGATGGGTGGAAACTATTTCCAGTTAACCGTGAGAAAACTAGGGATGAGACTTTATTAGAGGATGCACAGGAGTTTGCAAGAAGTTTATGGAGTGTGACCCAGATGAATTAAGATTTAACGCCGGAGGCAAGAGGATTGCTTAAGACCAAGAGTTTGGGCTCGGCACCTATGGCTCAAGCGGCTAAGGCGCCAGCCATGTACACCTAAGGTGGCGGGTTCGAATCCCCAGCCCGGGCCCGCCAAACAACAATGATGGCTGCAACC